TGCAGAAGGACACAGCTGCATCCCGAGGTGCTGAGACTGCCTGGGCAGCTATGAGTGAGCAAATTCCCCAGGCGTGGGGCTGCCATAAGGTGTCTAGACAGCGCTGCCCCTGGGAGATGGTGTCTTGGAGAGGACAAAGCGGGGCTGCCCAGCTGGGCAGAGCCCTCCCTTCCATCCATCAGTGCTCTGCAGGCTTGCTGCTCCGAGCTCCGTGCACAGACACAGTCACTGCTCTGTCTTGAACTCAGGTGTAAGGCAGGCTCTTGGTGAGCACCACCACCCAGGCGATGCAAAAAATAAGCTCCTTCCCTGGTCAATAGCCCACGGCGGGTAAAAAGCCACACTTGGTAGCAGCCCGGGGCTTGCTTTGAGATCCCAGGCTCTCCCCTCCGAAGCACAGCAGTGTTACTGCCCCTGCTTGGGGCCATCAGCACCCTGCCATGCCCCCAGCGAGCTTCTCTGCGCCCAGGGTGCTCGCAGGAGGCAAGATGCCGAGTGCACCTCCTTGCCACCAGCCCTGAGTCATCCAGCTGGCAGCACAGCAGCCTCGACTACAGCACGAGCAGCTCAGCTTCTTTTTGCTCTGGCAGCCGGAACGAGGAGCTGAGTGAGCGTGCTGATAACGCCGGTGGTTTAGGAACTCCCTGCATGGAAGGCTGCTGGGAGAAGCAAGGGTTTGGGGTGATTACTGGCCACCAAACGGTCTGTTACAACAGGGGCAGCTCAAATGCCAAAATACGAAGTGAAACCAATGCCTGTTACCTCTCTCATTAAATTTCAGTGCCTTAGCCAGCCCTGAAACAACAGCAATACCTATCCGGGCGGAATTCCCAAGGCTGAGCCTGTAATTAGCATGCTTCAGAGACAGGCACACCAACTACCTTGGGAAGAAAGCAGATCAAACAGATTCCCTTCTAGAGGTCGTTCAGGAAGTTTGAGGTCATGTCAGACAGCCCCGTGGTTATGCTCATGCCAGTCTACGTGCCAGGACTGGCTGATTCAAAGCCCAGGTGGGCAACCCTCAGAGGGAACCTTATCCCATCTCTGTTTGTCAAAATATTATCATAAGAGAAACTACAGAAAGGCCATCATTTATTCCTCAGACAGAAATTCCGGGACTGTTCGCTCACCCACGTTTAAGTCTAGCCAGACACGCATGTGACACGATGACTGAAACACACCTTGCACAAATACGTCCCCAAAAGTCTTGCTTTGCACCCATTATGCATTCCTTGCATGGTCCTTAATCCACTTTGTCAGCAAGCAGCCTCCCTCCACCACCAGTATTTCATTTACTCATTTCTGCCTTTAAATCAGTTTTACCCTTTTGTTGTTGCCTGAAAACAAAGTTTGGTCAATGTGCCACAAGATCCCAGGATACGGCATGAAAGGCCACTACGCTCTGAAGGAATGTAAAAGTATATAGAGGGCTTTAAACACATTTTACTGGCTTGGCAGAGGTCGGTGAGCCTCCACCTCATTTGGGAGGTTTGTGTTCAGTTCCTTCATCACCCTAACACTTAACTGTCCTTCACCTGATCACAAACATGAGCATTTCTCCAGGACCCAAGGAGCTGGGGTGGCTCCAGAGCGAGGTGGCTTTGGAGGTGATCCACTGGACACCCCGCGCCTCGCAGGCAGGACAGAGCAGAGGAGTTACTACAAGGCCTGGTGCCTAGGAACATCACCTAGGCCCTAAGCAATGTTTGTGTGTGCTCCTCACCTCTATGTTTAGCAGAGAAAATACAGCAAGACACAGCCCCACAGGCTGCCTGCCCTGACGTTGACCAAGCTTCTTGATGCACGGGCACAGCATGGAGCATGACCACGGCAAACCAGGCCCAAGGGATCCTGCTTCTTCCCCAAAAGGGGAAAAACAGGCTGCCCTTGCTCCTCCTAATCTTTGAATGAATCAGATCCCGCTCTTCTGATTTATTATATAATGCTACGGCCTCAAAAGGGCATGAGGACCAACCACCACGTGCTGGATCTCCAGCCTGCAATGTCCTCGTCTCTTCTCACAAGTCCCAGCACTTCATTTTCCCTTCTCATTTACAAGCTAGCAATTTTGTTGTGAATCTTCTCATGTCTATTTTTATTTTATGCAAAGGCTCACCTGCCTGAAAAACCTCAGCTTTCGCTTCTCAGGAGGTTCCCAGCGCTCAGAGTGACAAAGAAACGCCTGGAAGGGGAATCTGAGGTTCCGCCAGAAAAGGTCGGGAACAAAATGACAACCAGAAGGGCTGTTAGCACTGTTCCTTCACACCAACCAACACCAAAATCGTCCTTCTCTTTCCAGCTGAACCCATGAAGAAAGTGTGCATGAGGAAAGTGTGGCACCAATGATCTGTCTGGCCTGTTTTGGAAGAGTCCCTTCCCCCAAAATAGTTGATCAGCACTTCCCGACCATCGGGCTTCTTTAAGAGCTCTCACTAACCTCTAGTCCGGCTTGAAAACCCTGACCAACAAGTATTACCTCTGTACTCCCTTTTACGGTTTTGAAACTGAATTCTTGACGAGTGGGTCATTCTGATTACAGCATGGGCCGTGATGGGAAATGAGAGATTTCAAGCAGTTTGTCCTCGTCTGAGCTGTGTAAAGGAGTGACGGGGAGCAGAGATCTCTAACTACCGAGCACCTGCAACTGCAAAGCACCAAGAATTTCAGAAAAATAAAAAAAAACATCAGGGGAAGCTACTATGCGCCTTCATCAAGCTGTAAAACCAGGATCCCTTCCTCTGATGCACAGTTCTAGGTGTTTTTGTTTCATATCCAGCTCCCTCGGCTGCTCATCCCACAACCAGCAGCGGTTGTGAGGTCTCGGCACCGCTTAGCACGCTCAGTAACGGAGCCCTAAATGCTGCACAGCCTTACACTGACCTCCTGCCCCGGGCTAAACCCTACACTTGATGCATTACATGCCCTGTGTGAGCTCGCGGGGAGGTATACATGTGGCAGCAACCTAGCTTTGATAGCTGACTGGAGGCAATTTCTTCTGGGCGCTATGCAATCGCTCACCCTAATTTACTCGGTGATCTTTAAAAAAGCAAATTGTTTTTATGAGACAAAGGCAAAAGATTGCACTAAGCAGTCATCTCCTTTCAGGCCTGGCTAACTGGAAAGGAACTAGGACGGAGTTTGATCCGTTTCAAAATAGCGTAGTATTTTTAATGACCCATAAGCACATTTTTAGAGCACACTGAGGATGTAGCTGGAGGGCCCGGATGGTGAAAGGCTCAGACTCCTCCTTCAGCAGGCAGGCTGAGAAATGGAGCCCTGAATTCCCCCTTGGGCTGATGTCAGCACCCAGCGGGCACAAACACATCCTTCAGGGCACCGAGGTGCTGTCCTACAAATGCACGCTTGGTTAAAGGGGGCTTTTGCTGGATTACAAAGCAAAAGGGGGCTTTTGCTGTCTAATTTATTACCTGTAATAACATCAACCGGCCTGGCAAAGTGCTGGGAATCATTCTAGGAATACCTAAACCTCTGTGGGTACAATTTGGCTCCATGGATGGAAGGCAAACCTGCTTAGATTCGCAGGTGGTTCCAGGTTCTTGCGAAGCTTACCAAGAAGCTAAGCAAGAGTTTAGCGAATCAGCAGCAGATCGCCTTAGCAGCACACTCACACCAAGATACGTGCTTAATTGTTCCGCTAGGCCAAGGCTGTACCTTCCTGGATGAGGTTTTTCTCCCTCGAAACCCGCTTTGCCATCGCTTGCATTTTCTCCTCACGCTACCAAGATGAGAGGGGAAGCTCGAGCGCGTGTACGTGCGCCCAGTGCTCAACGAGAACGGGACTGACAGTTCTGTGAGACAAGGCTGAGAGCATCAAAATATTCACGAGAAGTTTCCTCTGCTGCTTATCCAAGGCCTGGCAGCCTCCTCGGAGTGTCACGGCCCCAGACGGCCCTTATCAAATGGACGCTGCTGATGTTCCCCCGCTCTCCTGCGAAGAGGCCACCGCAGGCTCCGTTATCTGAACGCCTCTGCCAACACGTCCCTGAACTGCGAATCATTACCGTGGGAAACGCTCCAGTCATCTGTCCAAATTAGAATGTAATTTGTGTGTCTAAACATCACGGCTCGGCTCACCTGCTCCGCCTGAGGAGACAGGGCACCCCGAGCGCCGAGGGCTGGGTTTGCAGGGCGCACAACTCGGGGGATGACAAATCACACCCTAAATGACGGCAAATTGCCATATTAAAGCTGCTTTTCCCACAAAGCCCACGATGCATCAGCAGAAGCCGGTACAGCGGTGCAGCAGCGAAGGGCGAACAAAGAAGGATGCGGGCAGGGGGAGAGGGGCTCGGAGCCCCCCGGGCGCCCTGCACAGCCCACCTGTGGGCCCAGCTTTGGCTCTGCATGGCTGGTGGGCACTATTTTTCCCCCAGATCTGCCTGTAGGATGGCGGGTTGGAGGAGAAGGGAGGCCTTGAGGGAAGCAAGGCTTCCTCCTCCCTCTGCGGGTGGGAAGGGGCGCTCTGAAAACGGCCCCGATGCTCCTGCAGAGCCTCAAGGAGGAGGCAAAGCCCCGTGTGGGACCAGAGGGCTGGGCGTGCGGGACCCCCGCTCGCGTCCCCATCGTGCCAGCGAGGCTGGGGCTGAAGGGGGGCAGCGGGGGCGGCCAGGAGGAGCAGCAGCAGCAGTAACAGCAGCAGTGACAGCAGTAACAGCAGTAACAGAAGCAGTGACAGCAGCAGCAGCAGCAGCAGCAGCACTAATAGCAGCCCCCCCCCGCGCAGGCCGAGGGCGGTGGCGGCCGGGGACAGGCCTCGGCAGCCTCTCAGCCTCCCTCCCTGCCTCCTTCCCTGCCTCTTTCCCCGTCCCCAATCCTCCCCCACACCCCTCGGACCGGCCTCCCCCTCCCCTCCCTCCCGCAGCCCCCCCCGGGCGCGCCCCGTCCCACCCCATCCCGCAGCCCCGGGCATTGTTCGGCCGCCCCCTCCCCTTTTTTCCCTTCCCCTCCGGTGCCGTGCCGTGCCGTGCCGTGCCTCCTACCCCAGCTGCTCCTTTCCCTACGGTTCCGGGCCATGGTGGGGGCTGCCCGGGGCTACCCGGGAGGCGGTGTCGGTGGCTACGGGAGGCTCCGTGCGCGCTCCGAGCCGCGCTGCGTCTGGCGAGGCTGCCGCGGGGGCGGGGGGCGGGCGGGGGCACCGGCAGCATCCCCGCCCGCTTCTACGGCACGGCTCGGCTCGGCACAGCACGGCTCGGCTCGGCAAAGCACGGCACGGCAAGGGACGGAGCCCCAAGGGGTGCCCGCAGCCGGAGCCGGCTCGTCCCCGGGCGCTGCGCACCCTGCGCCGGGTACCCACGGCTCGGCCCCCCGCTGTCATCCCCCCGTGGGGTGGGTGGGGGTGGAGGTAGGGGGTGAGCTGCAGAAGGGTAGCCCAAAGGGGTAGCCCAAAGGGCTGGGGGTCACGCCTGCACGCCCCTCGCCCCGGGATTGTGTCCTGCTTGGGGTGCCCTGAAGGTCTGGGGGTGCACACGCACCATGGACACCCCCTCCCCATGCACACTTGGGCTCCCCATGCACACAGTAGGCAGAAATCCTGCCCTGCTCACCCCTGGTGCACACTAGGGTGAAGAAATCACTGGTCGGATCCTGCCCTGGGGTGCTGCCCCCCATCCATGGCAGCAGCATCCCCAGGAGGTGCGCTCTGCACCTCTGGATGCAGCGCAAGAGGTGCCAGGGTTGGGCACCCCAGGATTGAGCTGCCCCACAGCTGGTAACACACCCCCCAGTTCCCCCGTATCAGCAAGCGGTCATGTTTGGGATGGTAACGAGAGGGTTTCCCTTGTGTCTGGGGTTGATTCACTGCTCTGTCACGCGAGACCGTGACTCAGCCTGAGCGCAAGGGAACGCCCAGGCGTGAAACTCGGGCAGGGGAGCAGCAGCACCAGCCCCGGCCGTGCCCCAACTGGCCCTCGCCCACAGCTTATGGCCTGTGTTGATGCTTGCCCACGCTTCTGCTCGCCAAGAAGCAGATTGAGCCACCCGGCACAGCTCCGTGCTGCCCTTTGGAAGGAGCACGGTGCAGCACTCGAGGCACAGCCACCTAAACTGGAAATGCTGGGGGAGCGCTGCTCCATGCTGCACGCTGGCCTGCGGTGGTCAGGGAAAACCCAGATGGCTGCTCGGCCTCGTTGGGTTCGCAGGAACCATCGGGATCTGTTCTTTGTGAAAGCAGGGAAAACACACAAAAATGATGTAATGTTCCAGTAGGTGCCAAAGTCACGTTTCGTTGCGCTCCCGTTGGTATGCTGATACTTAATTCCTAAGTGCCCCCTCGAGCACCCAGCGACTGCCCCCCCTTGGCTTCCCCTCCGTGTTTATAGCGTTGGAGGGAAAGATGTAATTTTGCCTGGCTCACGTGGCCGGCAGCTGAATCCTCCTGCCCGCAGCCTGCGGGTTGCCCGGCCCCTCGCTGCCTTTGCAGGAGCTCCCTGACAACTTTTATAAATAACCCCTGTAAAATAGATATTATTGTAAACATAATAAAAATATAACGCATAATGTAATAAAGAATTAAAACGGGGGTTGTTGTTAATATGCGTTGATATAAATTTATAATATACACATAATAAAGTCCCGTGTGCGTGTTGATCCTCTTTTTGATGCAGACAAGGAGTGGGCAGCGTTGCGAGGGGGATTTCTTACACTGGAGACAGCCCGAGTTCAAATAGGTTGAAAGAGGAGATTAAAAGAAAAGCAGCTGGGAAATGGAGAGGGGAAAAAAAAAAAAATGAGGATGGAAAAGGAGATCTGTTAATTTGAAAGTCTGATTAAACCAAGATGGGCTCAGGCCCTGTTTCCTCATTCCCTCTGAGAACTGCAGCTCAGGTCAAGCTTGTATTGCCCCATTTATGGGTGTTTTTTTTTTTTTCCCTTTCTCTTTCTCTTAAGGCATGTGGCATCAGAGGGAAGGAGGGACAGAGGTTTGGTCCTGTGCTGTGCCAGGGGAACGTTCCTGCCATATTTTTCCAGCCGGGGCAGGGCGTTCTGGGCATGGCTTCGTTCCCGGGCTCACTCCACACGTGCTCATTGCCACCCCGTCGCTCCATCAGCTCTTCCTGCCTTCGTTTTTCCGAGCTGCCCTCCCTCAGAGGCATCTCGACGTGCTTGCTGCTGCCAGATCACAAAGAGCTGACTGCAGGGCAGGCACGCTGAACGGGCACGCAGTGGAAGCACTCTGGAGGAAAAGCAATGCCAAATGGGGGAAAGACAAAAGGACAAAACTGCACAGAGAGATACCGCGGCCGTGGGGCTGGTGTGCTTGGGGGCACAGTGCTGAAAAGGCCACAAAAAAACTGGATTTAAACCCATAATGTGCAACGCTCCCGGAGCTCGCGGGGGCAGTTTCATAATTCACCTGGTTTCAGCTGGCCCACTTACCCCGCGAGCATTCAGCATTGCTTTTCCCACCCCCAGTCCCTCGCCAGCAGGAGCCAGCCGTGCTGTGCAATCCTTATGTAAGGGGTCGGGTGCTGCAAAATCCCTGCTCCGCCCCAGGTGCCACCTCACTGCCTTAGCCCGGGTCCTTCTGGAGTGCCAGGTCCGTCCTCACGCTGGTTATAAAAGGTTCTTGAACACATTTGCTTCTTCCCGCAGTTATTCTTATCACTTCTGCCTTCTCCGTCTTCATTCTTACACTGCTTCTGCTTAATTGCATGAGAAAGTACAGGGGATGCAAATCTTAACTCTGCTTAGAGAGGGTTGCAGGAGGACTTCTCCTAAGCGCTCGCACTCCTCTGTGGCAGTGATTTGTCATCGCTGTTCTTGTTTCTGCATCCTTATCCTCGGGTTAAGAGGCCAAGATTCCTAGGAAATAGCAAAAAGTGTTAAAATGAAATGAGCTTTCTCCCTCCTTTCTTCTGAAGCCTTTCTCATATTTCTGTGTTGGTTTTTGTTGTTGTTGTTGTTTTATTTTTTTTTTCCTTACTGAATTATTTTTAAGCGAAGCAGATCTTTGTTGCTTAGGAAATCCTCCTGTTCCTGCTGCTCCTGTTTCTCACCCCAAATCGTGTTGTGACCGCCTACATTTCAGCAGGGATTGCAACCAGAGGAATCATCTTTGCTCCTTCAGTAAACATTGCTCCACACCATGGCCGTAACAAAGCCATCATAATTCACTCGGAGAGCAGACAGAATTGCAGCAGCTAATTAATTGACTTGTTTCATCAGTCTGCGGGGAGGACCTTCCTTCTGGAAGATGCTCTGTAAACTGAAGGAACTATTAAAGAACAGGAGAAGTGATTTAGATAAAAGAGACGTCAGGCAAAAGCTTCAACCAAAGCAACCTCCGAGTGCATTTGGGGCCAGGCTGGGTTTAACGCTGTGGCTGCCTCCCTGCTGTCTGGGTCTGGTCAGGCTGAGCACAGGGACAACAAACGATTGCACAAGTCCTACAATAAACAGATGCAACTTTTCTAATCTGATTTAGACCATCAGGCCAGTTTCCAGTAGGTTCCTCACCCCGAATGGCACTCTCAGGACTACTCCAAGGGTTTGCTGAATAAAATATCCCACTCTCGGCTCTGTATTCAGATAATACTGGTGTTGGAGGACCAACTACAACCTTCCCAGGCTTCTCTTCCTTCCTCATATTTCTCTAAGGGTCAGTAAGAGCTCTTCTAAGCCCAGCTGCCCATTTATTTCCAATATTGTTTTCGATTCTTTCTTTCTCTCCTGTGCTGACAGACAGATGGACACCGTACTCAAAACATCCTTCCCCACCAGCCTCTTTTCTGCAACGTGGCTGTAGTAAGTCCACGCCAGAATCTGCCTGTGCCAAGTTTGTTTCTAGGATTTCCCCCTGCCGATACACCTCTTCCCAGGGAGAGGCTTCCAGCTCCTCTCGTGCCTTGGCAGAAATACCCACGTCCACCTGCCTGCATGATTCAGCACGATCCTCGCAATATGTTCCGGCCAGGTTCGTGCACCTGGAAACCAGGGGAGCAGACGGGTTTCCAGGCAGTGCTCTGAAGTCCTCTCGTTAACTCCGCTTTTAATTGAGCGGTCACACTTTCCTGCAGCCCCGTGCTGAGCAGTGGCTGCCGGCGAAGCTGCCTGCTTCACCTCTGCCCTCGCTTCCTTCCTGCTGAGCACAAACAGCACACTCAGCTGCAAAGTGCCCTGAGCTGCAGCTACGTAAACGAGGTGACGTGGAGTAATGTACAGCCACCGGGGCTCCCGTTCCTTCCGTGAAAAACAAATCCTTGCCCAAGGATTACCCGAGTGAAAGCCAGCAGAGGGGCTGAGCTATGTCTGGGTTAATTTTCCTGCTCCTGCCAGGGATACAAGTCCCTGGACAGCCTGGGAAGGCTTTGTCCTTCGGAGACCCTTGGTGGCTTTTCTCTCCTGGATGGTGTTTCCATCTCAGAAACACCCCTCCCTCTTTCTGCTCTTGCAACTGAAATAGTCGGCTGTCTTCAGAGCCCCCTTACCCACTTTATTTTTTTTTCCTGGCATCTTTTGCACCGCTCGTGTGCTCACAGCAACCGTTATCCCAGCTGCTTCCTGCTCCAAAGGGCCGTGCCAGCAACGAGAGCTCATTTAGCCCCTGGGAAACCTGCCTGGCCCCTCTTGTCCGTGGGTCCTGCTAGCAGAGCTCAGCAGGTGAAGCGGCGTGAGCAGCACTGTGAGCTGCTGAAGTGATGCTGAGAAGCTTTAGTAGGCTCAGCATCCTACCAGCCACGCTGAGAAGCTTTCAGTCGGCTTCCAAAATCCTACCTTGGACTTGGTGGTGGGGAGATGCCCTGGAAAGAGCTCCTCTGTCCTCCTTGACCCTTCTCTCTGGGCAGGCCCTGGGCTTGCGGCAGCAGTCTGCAGCAACAGCACGTGTTTCATCAGGGAGGAAAAGCAGTCTGAAAAACCCAAACCACAAACCCCACACCGAAAACGCTGCAGCACTTCTCGAGCGCCTGCTTTGTCACCTCAACAATGAAGTTTGATGTGCAATAGTGCATTGCTCGAATCAATGAGAGGAAAAAGCTGCAGACCTCGTCGCTGATTCCCAAGTCTTTGGCTTCCTTATTGCTGTTCATCTGCTCTATTTTAGTAGTAATCCCATGAAGTAATCCCACAGAATAGTTTTGAATACCTTCGGTGTATGCAATCAACAGACCTATGTGAAATTAAAGACACTTTAGCAACCTGATGAAAAGTAGGGCTGAATTTTTTTTCCTCGTGCTGATGTTTCATAGCTCAGCTTCTGATGTGAAAATGAGCATGCGTTCACATGCAGAGCGCCCTGCGCTGCTTTTACGAGCCGCTTTATGGCACTGCTCAGTTAGAAATCGGTACACTGCTGCACCGACCGCTACCAGATAAATCTAGAGGCCTCATTTAAATAACCTTCGCAGCTCTTCCTGTTAAGACTACAATGCAAACAGATCACATTCTCTAATCCTACGTAATGCCTTATGTAAAACCACTTAACATTCCTTTTAAGGCTGGGACCCATCCAGATGAAAGATGCTACATAAAAGCACATTCCTTAACGTGCTTGACCAGAAAAGCAGCGTGGTCCCGGGTGGAAAATACAGAATGGAAACCAGCGTGTGTGTGCAGGAGGAGATGGCTGGAAGTGTGCAGTGTCAGGCCATGTCTTGGACCGTACACTTCACACAATTCATTTACCTCAATTTTTTTAATCATAAAATGGCTGTAATAACACATTGCTGGTGCTGCTATTATGTATGTACACTTTCCAGAAGCCCTTCCAGCAGGGCCTGGGACCCAGCTGGGGAAGATGGAATAAAGCAGGGATCACGAGGCAGGCTCCGAGTTCACTCTACAGCACTGGCAATGTGCTACAGGAAACTAAACCTCCAGGTGGGACGTGAAGGCTGACCAAGCGAGGGCAAAACAGTGGTCAATAAAGGAGGCTGTGCGTTAAATTGCAGCCATCGGAAGGTCCTTGGATCTGCAGGACGTTTGAGGAGGCCAAGCCTTAATGCACCATCTGCTCCTGGAAAATGAAACGGCCTCTTTTCCTGTGCTGTCTTCTGATGTCTTGACAAGAGCAGAAAGTCAGTGAAATGAGAAGCGGTGCTCGAACCCTTGGCCAAGGGAAAGGGAAAAAAAAAAAAAAAAAAAAAAAGACACAAACAGCTCGCTATCAGGAGTGCAGGAAGCTAATTTATGGGGGAGAGGTAATTGTTTTGTTAAAAATCGCTGGAGGAAATACAGCTCCCTAAAGGGTAAATAGTTTTTTCTTTTTTTTTATTTGCTGGGTGTTCAGGAAAACTTACGTATTTATGTTGGAGAGAATATACAGGATGTAGAGAGCTTTCAGAGGACAAGGGGAAATTAAATGCGAATTTCTTTAAGTTAGCAGTCACATGCTTCCCCGCCTCTTTGGAAGCAAGATAGTTTACATTTCGGAGCCTGCTTCTGAAACACACCGTTTCAAACGAGCCCATAAATCAAAACCCAATAAAATCAGATGCGACTGTGCAATTCCCGAGTGGCTGCATAAGTTGTCTTTAGTTTAACCTCAAACAGTCCAATAATCCTAATGAGTTCTGCTGGAGAGCCTGTGTTTTGAAGGGAAAGCTTATGCAATCAGCTGGGCTGGTTCAGGTACGTGCATGTGGCATTTCTAAATGTGCTGAAGCAAGCTAAAAATCCAGACTCCATTTTAAACTGGGAATCAGCACCTAGCTGCTTTGTCCATAGGCTAGATTGGACCTGGTTGTGCTGTCTCCCTGCCAAGGAGGCAGAATTTGTTCTCCAGTAACCGGTCCGGTGTCCTGAACACCAGAAAGGCTCATACATCTGGCATCCATTTACTTTTTTTTTTCTACCTCGCTTTTGCAAACATATTTCCTGCATTGAGTATGTGGTATTTCTTGCACCTAGAAACTCACACCTCCTTTTAGGCCTTAATGATTTTACTGTGCAGCAAAGACTAATGCTAATTCCAGCATCCCTCTACCCTTGCCGCTGCCTTTCGGTTTATTAAATTGTTTCGCACTCAAGAGACTATCGGGGGGGTTTACTCAGAAATTCGGCTGTTTTGCCGAAAATAATTATTCTCCAAAGGCAGAAAGGCAGATACAGCACTCCTGCCACCTCACACTTTCAAAGTGCTTCTGAGTTTGGCAGCCCAAGGAGACGAGCCGCAACAGGCCTCAGCTAATTCTTGTGTGCCTATCATCGCACTGGCTGCCTGTGGTGTTTCGATTTGCCCAGGACAGGCGTTACTGTGATGATGTGGCTGCGAGGTTACGATCCAGAGCACGAAAATTTGGGAAGCCCTACACTTGTCCCATGTCCTTGGCGTGTGGCAATGGGTGAATTGCCCTCGTCCCTGTGCTGGGAGCTGGGTTTTGCTGTGTGATGAGCCCTCGACAGGGGCTCAGGCATCAGCCAGAAGGCTCAGTGCTGTTCAGACAGCAGCATACACAGAGTTTATATAATAAATATATATAAGTTTATTTATGTGGTGAATTGAAGCTGGAGGAGATCCCTCAGCCCCACAAGGCGGGGAGCAGCCAAGCACCGTGCGCTCCCCTCTGGAGGGGCTCACAGCCGCTGCCCCCTCCGGCCTCAGGAGCCTCGGGGAAGGGCCTGAGGGTGCAGGGAAGAGGAGGAGGAGGAGGAGGAGGAAGAGGAGGAGGAGGAGGAGGAGGAGGAGGAGGAGGAGGGCGGGCAGGCAGCGGGCGGCCGCGCTGTGGCGCTGCGGCGTCGCGGCAGGCCCGGCCCGGTGCTGTCCGTCCCGGCCTGGCCCGTCCCGGCGCTGCGTGCGGGAGGAAGAGGAGGAGGAGAAGAAGGACAGGAGGAGGAGGAGGAGGAGGAAGCTGAGGCTCTCGCTCTCCGCCGGGACAAAGGGCCAGCGGGTGCGCAGGCAGGGCCCGGCCCGGCCTCCCCGCGGGCCTCCAGGGGCCGCCCCGCCGCTGCCCCGCCGCCCTTGGGCGCTTTCGGGGCCGGGCTCTGCGGCTCCTCCGCCGGCCTTTGTCCGCCCTCAGCCCCCTTCCCTCAGCCGGAGCCATGCGGGCCAGCGGCTGAAGCCCCCGGGCCGTGAGGCGAGACAAGGGAGGGAAGGGAGGGCCCGCCGCGATGGAGCCTCCGGCTCGGCCGAGCGGGGACATCCTGAGGCGGAACCCGCAGCAGGACTACGAGCTGATCCAGCGGGTGGGCAGCGGCACCTACGGAGATGTCTACAAGGTGAGAAAAGGGCTGTTTTGTTTTGTTTTGTTTTTTTGGCCCTCCCCGGGTGTCCCCCCCGGCTGCCCCAGCCGGGCTGGTGCTGGAGGCTCGGGGCCGTGAGGGCTGCGGGCGCCGCTTTTCCGCCTGGCTGCTGGGGAAGGCAGAGGGGATATCGGCTTGCCCTGCCTGTTCCTCGGTTAAAGCACCCGATTAAAAGGGTGCGAGTTTATCCCCGGGGTTAATAATAGCGTGCGGAAAGGCAGAAGCAGATTAGGGCTGGTTAGAGGCAGGGGCTGGGTGAGGGCTCGCTGCTGGAGTCCCAGAGATGCTCCTGGAACTGCAGGTAACCGTGTCTGAAATTTTTAACCACAAATGTGTGAAACAAGAGGCGTAGGCACAGCACGTCCCTTCCTCAGAAAGATGCAAGCCCCTTCTGTAGGCACCAGGGATGCTCAGCGACCTCAGGAGTCGGGCTGCTTGTAAAGAAATCGTTCACGTTTTCGGCCTGTGCCGTGGCAATCCGAATTATCGGGCTTCGTGGGAAGGGCAGCAGTGCTGTTTGGCTTCACACCGCTGCTGAGTGTGTTTTAAATAGACCTGGCACAGCCAAAGGTACAGGAAGAGGTGCTTTATGCTGCCACATGAAAGGCGCAGGTAATTGCCTCGTGCTGGGGGAGGGCTCTTTGCTAATGTTCAAATTGAAGTTTTATAGCTGCGTCCCGTTCCCACCACCCCTTTGAAATGGTTGCTCGTGGCCTCGGGGAGTTATTTTTAACAGTTTTCACCGTGCCTGAATATTTACCTTCTTATTTTCCTAGAGCGCCGCGCACGGATCAGTCAGCTGCTCCGCTAGGGAACCTGGCCCCAAATGCCCCAAAAGGACGTTTCGGGTGTCCTAAATCTGAAGCTCAGCGCGCCTTCAGCTAGCGTGTTGGGGCACAGCACGGGGCAGCCCGATGAGAAATGACGAGCTGTGTCAGCAGGGAAATGTTTTCGTGCCATCCCTTTGCTCTCCGTGGGGAAAAAAAAAGAAATATTCTGCTTTTCATTATCCTGCTAATTAGCGGAGAGCTGTGCTGACATGTCATACAGTTTCCGGTTCCGGAGCTGGTCGAATGCATGGCTCTGCTCTGGGCTATGTAAACAGAGCCCTTTTTTAAATAAATCACCTCCCTCCTCCCAAATCCTCCTTTATTTGGGTTGTGAAAAATGCCCCTTCTACTCTGAACGGGTCCCGGGCAGGAATAAACCTCATAGTGCAACCTGACAAGTTTAAATCAAAGCCTTTGCCAGAGGTATGCCCCTACAGCAAGTATAAAGTTAATGAGTTTAAAGTAGTTTAGGAGCCTGCATTTGTTTCTAGGTCACCGGTTTGCTCTTTGTTTTTATAAAGCCCTGCAAACAGGGAGGAACTGTGTCAAGGGAGTGCTCAATAGGGTGGCCCAGGCACTTAGGGCAAATATGCAGAGCCAACTTATTCCTGCAAGTCATTGATGTGGTGTTAATTTTGAGAGTAACGAAGGTAAACCTCTTTTCTTGCGAGCAGTTACCTGTTAGCATTGTACTTTTAATTTTCTCTGTCCGTGCTGAGTCTCTTCTTAGCGCAGATGTCACATCTTGTGCGTGCTGAGGGCTGCCAGTTGTGTTTATAAAATGCATTTCTTGGTCAATATCTGATTGTTGTTCTGTCTCGGAGCTCAGGCAAGGCTTGCTAGAGAGCGCTCTGAAATTAAAATGGAATTTTCCTCTCACCTCTTCAAGTGGTTTCCCTGCTCCATCACCGATAATGAGTCACCGGTGTCTTCAGCACAGTTGTTTTTAGGATGTCTAAATGAGGCAGCCCTTCTGATTGTGGGAGATCTGCCTCTTTCTCAGTTGCTTTTTGGTGGCGCTGGTGGTTCGTGCCTCAAATTCCTCTTGGGGCATTTGGTAGCTTTTAGAGTAATTAGTTCTTTTTTGGAAGTTGAAGGCGGGGGTTAAGCAAATATTTGTGTTCGCTATTAGGTTACAGAAACTTATTTAAGGCCTTCCTAAAAATCTCCTGCCCACTTTGCTTTTCATAACTGCTATGGAAGCTTAAAACTAAAATGTGTTTTCTTAGTCTTTGTGCTTTTCTTCCCCTCTGTTCCATGGCACACAATGGTTGATTGTAGGGTACTCATAAGTACTGGATTGTTGACCTTATTTTAATATTTTTTTCCCAAAAATGCATTTCAGGGTGGGGAAGAAACCATCCTTAAATAAACTGTTTTCTTATCTGTGCACTGTGGGTGGAAGTAGATCCAAGTTTGGGCCTACCAGCCTTGGAAGCACATTTTTCATTAAAATCCTAGCATGTTACTTGGTCCATTTGTGTTGGGAAAGCTTTTTTTCCCTCCCTAATAGAGAATTTTACTCTTAAGCTGATTGTAATCCACTTGAATACGTTTTCTCCCAAAGCATCGTGTTAGGCACATCTTAAATTATTGGCTTCTGAAAGAGCTGGTAATGTATCTGGGTACTCACTGGAACTTAATATGACAACATTTGTGTGTTTTTTTTTTTCCCCAATACCTGTCAAATGGTTCGTTTCCCCAGCTTCATACCCGTTAGCAATGATGAGGGCTGCGAGAGAGGCTTCAGCTGGGCTTTCCTGGTGAGATTTTTGCTTCCCCACTTTGGTCGCATACCCGTCTCAAAGCAGGAGTTTAAAAGTGGTGTGGGCTTGTTCGTGTTCCTGGCGCTGGTACTGAAACGGACCTCGTGTGTGTGGTGTTAACGTGGAAACTCTCCAGCTGTCCAGCGACGGGACAGAAAGCTGAAAGGAGTCCTTGAGAAACTGCAGGTAGAATTTAGCCTCCACTAAGTGGCCCGTCAGATCCCATCCCAAGTAAACTCCTGAGTTGTGGGTAGGTGCTTCCCAGATGTTTCCCAGGTCTTGATGGGGTTTTATTTGGCTATTTATTGACTTGGGATAGATTTGGTGGAGAGGTTTATGGGAAGGAATACCCTGTGTTGTACTGAGAGCTGTGGGGTCACCACCCCCTTACATATAAAAAGGATTTTAAAGTCTTCTGCTGTGTGTGAGTGCCTTCACCACCAGCCTGCTGGAGAACAAAAGGCTCGCTACTGCCTCCTCTGTGCCCTTCTCTCCCAGCTAAGCGGGGCTTTGCTTTTTGTGGATTTTCATGCAAGTGCCCCAAAGAGAGTTTTAACTAACCTTCAGCACTGAGGGAGGGGAACAAAAGGGTGGTTGATGCGAACTGTCCTTTTGAATGCTCTCATTTGGCAGCCGAGCTGAAAAATCGTGTATTTGCTCAGCCCAGCACCCTCTGCAGGCTGCTTCTGAGTGATGAATAGCTCGATGTCTGTCCTCGCTGAGAGGCGATGATAAAATATGATCTTGTGCGGCAATACTGAAGCTGTCTTGTCTTGTTGTGTTTTGTTGCTTTCCCAAGCAGGACTGTGAACAGTGCTGCAATAGCTTTCTTTCAAAGTAAGCACAGGGGGAGACAAATGTACCAAATTAATAGCAGAAACTATCCGTAAACAAGACACATTTTTGGTAAATATCGCAGAAATTGAATCCCTTCTTAATTCATGTGCTCAGCCTCTCTCATTCTCTTGGGATGTTGTTTAATCTCCTGAACCAGTTAACGACGTTGGCTGAGAAGTGCCCTGTGCAGGAAAACACTGAGCCGGGGAATGGGATCAGCACAGCCAGAGGTGCTTTTGCTCAAGATTATTGAAAACAAAGAAACACAACCCCACCAAATCAAAAACACCACCGTCGACATCAAAAACCAACTGATTACTTCAAAAGGTTGCCATAAATTCAGACTTCCTCAAGTTCAAGTCAGGTTTTGGCCCTGCTTTTGTGGTCAGGACCTTACTCACAGCACCCTGGAGTACGTATAACTTCTGTAGTAACAGCCTGCTGAGAGCAGGTATTTGATGTTCTTAATGTCACCCTGGTTTCACGGAGCAGGAGAACCTCCTGATTAAAGCCAACAGATCAAAAATGGGGCATTAAGGCTTTGTTTTTTTAATTCATACTGTATATGAGTGTCTCTGCAGCTGCAGACCATCCCTGCTTCGACGCTTCTTTTCCTGGTGCCTCCATGTCGTTTACATGGATTGATAGCCGTAAGCATTTGTCACAGAGAGGGATTCCACTCCTCCTCCCTGGATCAGAGCTGTCTGCTTGAGCAGTGTTTGCTGTAGCCATGCGTGAGCTCTGCACGCTCCTGGTTTTCCATCTGAAGGGTGTTTGCAGTGGCATCGAACCAGCTGCTGTTGAGTTTCTTCCTGCTGCTGTGGATTTTCTCTTCTGGGAAACTGCGTGCTTTTCTTCGGGATGCAGTCGGTGAGATGCATACTGCTGAGAAGTAACTTGCTCAGTGGCTTAATGACACCCACTTTTAGGATATTCAGGAGGTGGGGAGAAGCCCTTGCTTTTTTATTTGTAATCTTTGATTTTTTCCTTATTAAGCATTTGGTTTTTATCGTGAAACATTCAAACCTGCTTGGGTTTAAATACTACCTCCTGTGTGCCTGTGGTTCCCGTTAATGGGGTGTGAGGACCTAAACCCATTCCCCTGAGTGTTTAGCAGAAGCTTTGCCTTTCAAAGCGAATGCTGAATGCACAAGGTTTCGGTGCCAGAGTGCCCCGTGTGAAATGTTTCTGATCTGGTGGCTCTCACCTCTGAAAGCACCACGTGGCAGCTTCCTGACCTCGTGGGAGCTCTGCTCTCTGGTGAGCCCTGCAGCTTGCCTGGGGCTCTTTAAAGGTTCTGCGGTGCTACAGCACCTCTCCTTAGGAGCATTTCTCCCCAGCTCTCATTCTGAAAAGCAGGTAGCATCCGAAATCTTCAAAAAAAAAAAACAACTACCGTCTGATTTCTTTTCCATCTCTTTGTGAAGAGGTTTGTCCTCCCAGGCTGGGTACCAGAGGAGCCAAAGAAAGCGTGGCAGCAACTTTCAGTATGCTTCTGTCAGCCGGTGCCAAGGCTGCATCCAGAAAGGCAACTGTGGTGCTG